TTCGGGAGCAGCAGGCCCGTGATTCAGACGCATGTGACTAACATGCAAAATCGCTTCACTAAATTGATATCTCTGTTCGTCCCGATGGTGTCCACAGAATCTCAAATCGGTTGACTGCTGTATGAAATGGGGTTTCGGTAATACTAATTTGTTAAATCAATCTGCCTAACTCTGGCATGCATCGAAACTGTTAAATCATTCTGTCCAAAATGGTCATCATTTATCCCAACCTATATCCAGTATGTCCAAAATGCTCATCGTTTATCCCAACCTAAATCTGATGTGTCCAAAATGCTCATCACTTATCCCAACCTGTATCGACTGCCCAAATCGGTTCCGATCATGAACTAAATAGGAAAATCGAACTGACCGATTCGGTTTGATGATTGTCCAATTGATTTTTCGTTTGTCCAAATCGCTTCACCTTTGTCCTAACTTACCTGGTCAAAGGGGTAATATAGCGTAGTAATCGAATGAAGATGATTTTTTTTTGACGTTAGTTTTCGTATTTTTTTAAAGATGATTTTGTGAAAATATTTAAATTAGTCGAACCAGACGAAATTCGTTCGTTTGCCTGAATGTTGTCCGTTCAAGAGTAAGAAAGTAATCGTAAATTATTAAAATTAATCAATTAATTAAGTTAATCGCCAATGACTTGCGAATTTACGCTGCACACTATTCATGTAATGATTGATTGATTGATTGATTTTTTTTGTTTATTAAATGGGGTTAGTGATGGGTTTTCTGCTATTGTATGCGACATTTTGTGCTATCGAGGTTCGTTTCAAGTCTCAGATCGAAAGGAGAGGACGATGGTGATGACGAGGATGACGGAACAGATTAATCGACCTCTGTGTGTGTGTGTGTATGTGTGTGTGTGTGTGTGTGTGAGAGAGAGAGAGAGAGAGAGAGGATCGACGCCTCAGAGGTCAGAGAGCGGGGATGCAGGTCCGGGGTGGGGTATACGGATGAAGAAGTCTTAAAGCACCAGTACATTGCCCCAGCCAAATTGAGAGTCCAATTGTATACGGATGAAGAAGTCTTAAAACACCAGTACATTGCCCCAGCCAAATTGAGAGTTCAATTGAGCCTGCTCACACGCCATCGATTAAGTAAATCAACGGTGTGCGGCCTCCGATAAGGGGTCACGGCCGATGGCTGGCATGTACTGGTGGCTTAAGAAGAGAGAGAGAGAGAGAGAGAGAGAGAGAGAGAGAGGATGGTCGCGTCAGAGGTTAGAGAGCCGGGGTGCAGGTCCGGGGAACTTGGGACGTTTGGTGTTAGGCACGGGTCGTGTCGACCTTGCCCGGCCAGCGGATCATCGTATCTTTTTTCCCTTTCTTGGGCTTAGCCTGTCATCTGTCATCGTCGTTGGCAGGGGAAATTAGATAGACGTCATGCGGACGTCCACGATCTTTTTTATTCTTTGTTTTTAGTTAATTCATATTCATGCTGGACGTCCACGATCTTTTATTCTTTTGTTTTTTTTTTTAGTTAATTCATGTTCATGCTGGACGTCCACGACCTTTTATTCTTTTGTCTCTCTAGTTAATTCATGTCCATGCATATCGGAGAGTTCTACGGGTGGAGAAACTGCAGACCGAGGGTTCGAGCTACCTTCTTTCGCCGAACACAGCGGACGGTCATTATAGCTGTATTTAGACTGAAAGATACCCCAAATACAGCTATAGTGACCGTACGTTGTATTCGGGGGAAGAAGGTAGGTTTGGCACGTATGTGGGGAATGCATCTTCTGCGTAACTACTGGCTCAGTCTTGGTTAAGACACGACTGCCGTCTTATAATGAATGTATACAAGACGGTAGTTAATGCTCGCCGTAGGAGAGGCGTGAGGTAGGGGCCGGAGGCGGGGCAGGGATGGGGCGGGGGGAAACAATATATATATAGCCTCCTGATGAGTCGGTGAAACTCCGACGAAACAGTTTGTCACAGCCCCTCGTTTGTTGTCCTCTTCTCCCTCTCTGCCTACGGTTTACCGGGCAGTTCTATTTGACGATATATATGTGTCCTCTGTCAGGACTGTTTTGATGGGATGGTTCGTGCTAGCCGTCCTGCTGAATGCTGTGCTGGGCAACTCTCCTTGGGTATCCGTGTGAACATCCACATCATCCTCACCGGAGCTGTCCTATCTGCCGAGGTGGGAACAGTTAAAGAAGAAAAGGAAAAAAAAAACAAGATAGAAAAATAAAAACAGAGAAAAAAAGAAAATAAGAAAGTAAGGAAAAAAAAAAAAATGTTGATCCGCGGGATGTGTTATATGCTTTGTGACAATTGGATTATCTGCGGGAGGTTTCCACCTCCTTTTCTTTACCTCTTTGCCTTTTGGCTGCGTGCAAGTAGGTCCTTGTGACACACGGGGATGGGGGCAGCCAGCGCTCAACCTGTCATCCACGTGGCTGGCCTTGTACGTAAGAGGTGATGAACAGGTGGGGCTTTCCTTCCTTCTTTTCCTTTCCTTGTTTTGCTTTTTTCCGCCTTCGC